TATTCTCCACCATTGTCTGTGCGCAACACCTTTCTACCCAGCTGCTTCTCAACTAAACATTGAAACTCCTTAAACTTATCAAATGTTTCATCCTTTGTTTTCATAAAATACACAAAGGACATGCGACTGAAGTCATCCTGCATTGTTAAAAAATATTTTGAGCCACCTATAGATACTGCTTCCATTGGCCCCGCCAGATCACTATGGATAACATCTAAAAGTCCATTAGCTCTAGTGCCATGATGATTAAAAGGTTGTCTAGACTGTTTCCCCTCACACCAAACTACACAATTTTTCTTTTCAATTTTCACTTGACCAGAATAGTTAACACCATCAACTAGGCCATTCTTTATTTTATTTATATAGCTTGAATTGATGTGCCCCAGTCTCTTGTGCCAAACTTCATTGTCCAACGAACATTGTTTTTTTTAAAGTGTCAATCTTATAGACTCCATTTTTCAAAAATGCTTTTGCCACTTGAACCTTTTTATTGTTGTAAATTTGACAACAGTCCTGTCCAAAATCAACAGAATTTCCATTCTCCAGCAATTTACTAACCGACAGTAGGTTTGTGGTTAAACCCGGTACATACTGAGCATTTTTTATCTCAATCTCAAAGTTTTGTTTGCCTACTTTACTGAGAATTTCAATTTCACCACACCTGTGTACAGGAAGTTTTGTGTTATTTGCAACAACAATCTCCTTTAAGATAGGCTTTCTTTAATTCAGCAACCAATCTTGCTTACACGTTAAGTGAATGCTCGCTCCGGAATCTAAGTACCATTCATTTTCGTTAAACTGTCCGCTTAAGAAAGCAACACTAAAAGCACTTTTCATAGAGGCACTTTTTGCCTGATTCTTTTGACTAAAATAACTTGGTTTTTGGCTTGCTTGCGGACACTTGGACATATAATGGCCAGCTTGCTTGCATTTGTAGCAAATCACTTCACTTAAGTCCTTTCTTTTAAATGCATTTCTACTTTCTTGATATCGATCATTTTTATTTACATTTTGCTGTGATTGACGTTGACATTTCTGAAAGTTGCCAATAAAAGCTCCCGCTGTCGAATTTGCGTTCCTGTTACCATCTGGTACCATATCAAGCAATTTCGTTTTTATCGAGTCGACGGTAATTTCGATACCGCTATGCTCCAGCGCCATCACCATTGGACCGAAACGTTCAGGCAACCCCGCCAACAACAAACTTCCAACAAGAGTTGTATCTAATTTGAGCCCTGTCCGACCAAGTTTTTGGGTAGTTTCGATTATTTGGTTGATGTATTCTTCCATTGACAAGCAATTTTCTAGCCTCAAGGAAATTAAAGTACGAAGAAGCCCAATTTTTCTGGTAAAACCCTTGTTTTCATATAGATCTTTTAGTTTATCCCAAACTTCTTTAGCCGTTGTCGCTTCTTTAACGTGGACAAACAAAGAAGGATCTATGGATAATACAATTTTTGCTTTGCATTTTCCGATTTGCACAGTATCAGTTTCTGTACCATCTATGCACTTACTAAGGCCTTCTAATATGAGGAAATTTTCCATGGCAAAACACCATTCTTCATAGTTTTCACGGCCTTGTAGCTTTGAAATTGTAGACAAATAGTTGGCTGCCATCTTCAAACTCGAGAAATAACAACAAACCGCGTTTACCCGCACAACTGTACTGTCTTTTATCAAAACAACTAACAAAGTCGTTTTATTAGAAAAACCGAATAAACTCGCGTACTGGCTTTAGATTTACCTTATTATACCGCCCTGGGCCCATAACCTGTTGAATTAGGGTGGAAAAACTGTTAATAAGGCGAACGAAATAAAACTCTACGGTTCGGTTTAGCATCGTCAGGAAAAACTGACTAACTTGTTTATTAACAAGTTGTTATTAACAACAGGCATTACAAACATTGCCAATAGATGGCAGGATAAATATAACCTATATTAATATTTTAGATACTAAATATCAACATATTTAAGGCTGCAAAAATTTATGTGGTTTATCAAAAATTTTTAAATTTGTACTTTTGCTTACTAAGAATTCTTCAAAATGTCCAATGCCTGTTATACAAAATTTATTTTCAACTATTTTTAAATTTGGATTTTGTTTTATTACAGATATTGATGCGCCTGAGTCTATTAAAAATGTTAAATTATGATTTAATAATTTAATATAAAATAATTTTGCATTAGATTTTGTTGTATTTAAAATTGAAGGGACTCTATGGGGTCGTTTATGTTTTGGGGGTTTATTTCTAAAAAAGAATTTTGAGTTTGTTCAGTGTCATTGTCATTTATAAATTGTTGGTCGTCGTAAATTTCGGTTTCGTTCATTTGATCGAAATCCTCATTTTCTATATAATTTATACGGGGTGTATAATTTTTATTTTGTTGAATTACTGTCTGTCTGTTTTGAGTAAAATTTGGTCTTTGTGTTTGCTGTGTTTGGGTAGTATTGGGTCCTTCTTGTGGTACAAAAGGTTTTTGAATATTATTATATTGGGGTAAATTTTGTTGTGAAGTACTTGGTCTATTTTTTGAAAAACAATTTTTATTTTCGTGTCCTACTTTATTACACAATGTACATTTTTTTATTTGGGCACTTGCTTGTGAAATTGAATTATAATTTTCACGAGGAATTAAATTGTTTGATTTTAATTGGGGTTTTAAGTTATGATTTTTATTTCTAAACTGTTGCAGATAAATTATGTTTTCTTCTTCAATTATAAATTGTGCAGCTTCTGATAAGCTAGAAGGTTTTTGTGCGCGAATTAGTGATCCCAAAGGATCTTTTAATCCTGATAATAAAAATTTTAACCCTAAACGTTCATAGGATTTATTTAACGCGGTTTTTTCTTCTTTTGTTAATTCTAAATCGTTTGCTAAGGCTCCGCGTATTTTAACAATAAATTGGCGAGCATTTTCATTAGGAAATTGAATTAAAGATCTCTAATTAAACCTTCGACATCTCGACAATCACCGTAGTGAGATACTAAAAGATTTTTTATTTCTGCCCAATCACTTAAATTTCTTGCCGAAATTAGTGTTTTGGCCCTACCTAAAATTTTTGTTTTTATTATAAATGGTAAAATTCCGCGTTTTACCGGATTTATATTTTCATCTGCGTAATCGACCGCCTCGATGAAATCAAAAAGTAGAGATTTCTCTCCAGAAAATTGTGGTATCATACACTTTGCATCATTTATTGAGATATATTCATTTTCAGTTTCATTTTCGTTGTCACTATCGACATGTAAGTTGTCTTGAGACATTTTCGTTAATAATTTAAAATATGGGATTATAAATAAATAGGATAAGGATTATACCTTATAAAAATCAATATTTAGAATTTAGAATAGCAACTTGGGGTACTTACATTAGCATCCTTCCAATAATTGCTTCTTAAGTTTGGTTAGGTTTGGTCCGTTTTCTGGGTGAAGAGTTGGAACTCAGCTTTTAGCACTTTCACCAAAAGTCCCGGTCGTTAACTTTTTTTTTGTTAAACAACTTTTTTTATCCTACCGACTGCGCCACTTTTATGTTTTTTCTTTGGTATTTTAAGTTTTAAAAAGTAAATGTTTATTTGTAAATCACTTTATTAAGATTTTTATCTGTTACAAAATTGCAACGTGAGAAGGTGTTACACGATAGTTAGCTACACACACGTCTGAGTTTAATTTAGAACGCTCTTAACGTAAGGCATTCTGCCATGCGCGATAGATATGCTTAAAGGATAGGTCAGTAGCGTTTGGTTATTAGTTAATTTAAATAATAAAAGAATTAAATACATTTCTAACTATGACAAAGATAATTATATAAAACAAATTAAGTTAAAAAAAGAAACGTGTATATTTTATACATAACACATGCATGGATTCGGTTTATGGAGTGGTTTCTTAACTTAGCATACAAATGCGGCGATGAAACCGAAAAAAGTGGCAGGCTCGTACTGCAGAACAGAAACAAAAGGTAGCTGCTCGTAAGCAAAAAATTCAAAACGATTTCAAGCAATTGTACGGTTTGCGAATCGATATCCCGAAAGCTGGGTCCGGTAACAATAATGACGGGAACACAGCTAGGCGATTTTTTGAAGATGTTTCGTCAACTGCAAAAATTTTGCCAACCTCAGTACATGTTATTCTCATCCATGGTTACGCTATAATTGAAGTATCTCCATTACCAATTGGACGGTTATCCGAAGATGCACAGGAAGCACGTAACAAAGACATCAGACGTTATCGCACAAACTTTTCTCGAAAGTACTCTCGTGAAAAGACAATGGAAGATATATTTCACCGACTTCTTGCATCTTCGGATCCCCTCATCTCGAATTTACAAAATTATGAATTCAAAGCCGGCAAACCTTTCAAGCCCGAAGTTTCTGATCTTTTAGTTAAAACATCTTGAAAAAAAATGTCCTCCATAATGGTCCGCCATTTTGTTTTTCAAAAAGTAAATATAAAATTCGCAATTAGCGACCTCAAAAACCACACGTTGTCAAATTTAAGCGATATCAGAATATTTGTTAAAAAAATGTCCATATTGGATCCGCCATATTGGTTTTGAAAAAAAGAATATCACATTCGTAATCAGTCACCCCAAAAATGTTTAAGTCCCTGTTTTGGTAAACATATAACTAAACCTTCATATTTTGACCATGTTTTTGGGCTTTTGGACCTCTGTGCGCCGTCTCTATCTGAGGATCCGGCCAGGTACGCGGAAATCGCTCGCTTGATTTGCAGGTCGGTTGCCTCTTTGAAACGACGTCGAACTGCTTCTATGTCAAAAAATAAGTTAAGTACACCAAACTTATTATTGTAAATTTTTTTACTTACTTCTTCTTTCAATTTTTTTTTATTGAAAGTTTATGGCCTTGGTGTAAGTCTCTCCCCCACACAAAAAGAGCATATCAACCTTAAATGTAATAAATATGGTTTAATAATATTTTTATAATAATAAAATTATTTACCAGCTCGGCCATGCATGCATGCATTCTTCATTTTCTTTTAATTTAAAAGTTCTTCATCTGTGCCGAACGGCATGTTTTTAAAGATTTCATTATCTTTCATTAAAATAAAAGTATGATTGGGATCACGAGTGGTAGGGGCAACCAATTTGTTTTCTATTGTTTCTAGGCGTGAACTAATATTTTCACGTTTCATGCTGTTAATATCGTATTGAAGGCCGTTGATCTTTTTCAAAAGAAGTTGCGCTATAAAACACTCAATTAAAAAACAAATTATTATTTGTTGTTTATGATGGACCTGGGGATGGTGAATTGCGAGAAAAGTTTTCTGAAATTACAAGAAAAAATTGGTAATGAATTAAGCAACATGCTTGTAACCGGTTTAGTTATTACCTTTATTTTCACTTGGACTACCGGTAAATATTTGAGGACCTCTTTTGTTCAAAAATAAAGAAGCAGGTGATGATGACGGAGGGTTCATGCGCTGAGGGCTACAGGAGTCTAAAAAATTAACTATAAGTGTAAAACATTTAAGTATATAAAAATTTACAAAACATTACCATTTGAAATTTGCTCAATAGACAATTGCGATGTTGTAATAGTCCAGGAATTATTAAGCTCTAAAAAAGTTAAATAATTATTTTGTTAATCCACCTATTAATTTTTACTTGTACCCAATCGTTTAGCAGGGTGTTCATAGGACGTTTCCCAAATTTCCGCATTAAGGTGTTTAGGTGCACTGTAATCTAAATTTTATGTTAAAAATTTATTTTTTTACAAAAGATCAAACTTATAAAAACACTTACTTTTCAAAGGTTCTTCTTCGTCTGAGCTGTCCTCATCATTCTGAAATCCTTCACTTTCACTTGTTTCCTCCACATTATGTTGGACTATTCCTTTTATGCAATAATGTTTGCTCCAGTTAAAGTTTGAAGATTTCGTTTAACAATTGTAGCTTCATACTCTTTACATTTGTATCCAATCAAGAGATCGCAGGAATCAATTAGGGATTGAAGTAATTGCGATGTGCAATTATGAGGCCATTTATATTGTTATTTTCGGTTCTCGGTAAATAGTCTATAGTTTCCTTTTTTTTGTCTTATCTTTCCAAATTATCACATCCCACATACTAAGTATGAAATAAAAGTTTAATGTAAGTACCATGCGAATTTTAAAACATTTTGGGAATTGCTTTTACCTGTTCATTAATAGAAAGTCCAATCGTGAAAGCAACACATACATTTTGGGAACAATCATTGAGTATTATAGGGAAAATAAATAACATCTAATCAAAGTTTCCAAAAACTGACTTACAGTGTAAGTAAGTGTAAGTGCAAAACAGTGTAAATTAGTAATAAATTGTTTAATGACATATTATTATTATAATTAGGTTTATAGTTTACGCGGCAAATAATAAAGTTGTTGTTGAAAAATTTAAGGCTTTAAAAAAAATATTTTACGAGCCCTAACCGTTATTTTCTGACAATTTTTAAGGCTAAGTTTTTAAATATATAGATTTTGGCTTTTAAAAAATCGTGAATTACTTATGTACCTATAAATGAATTTAAAATGAACTGTCCAAACATATATTGTTCGTATTGGTACTATTATTTGCAGTTTTTTTTTATTTTCTTTTATATAAGTAATTTATGTTGTTAAATACGAAGTCATAACAGCAAGGTCAGCAAGCGTAAATTAAACATAAACATTAAATTATTTACCATATCTATGAAATCAGTTATTACTTGTATGTAGCATTGAAAGGGCTACATAGCAATTCTTATGAGCTTCTTGAATGACAACCATTTTAGAGACGATATCATTTTTTGTAATTTCTAAACGACGAATTGAATGGAAAATAGAAAAAGTTGCCAATTTCTTCACACTTATAACCAAAAATTTTGTTTCCAGTAATCATTGTTATTTTTACAATTGTTCCATCGCGAACTAAAAGAAATCCATATTTACTGTGTCCTGAAGATAGGCAAAAATTAGAAAGCTGTATTTCACTTTCTAAATGTACTTTAGCTTTTTCATAAAATAAGGATTTATTTTCTGATATTATTCTTACGACTTGTGCCAAAGGCCGATTGGGTGTTAATTATTTTTACAATTTTTCCCAGGTAACTTTCGAAAGCGAAACAACTAATCTCATCCAAAGAGGTCTGAAAATAATCACTGTCATCGGCAATGTGTAATAAACTGTGTACATTGTAGGACAGTTAATTTTCCGAAATTATAGCAAAATCCTTTACGAAATCGACCATTAAGTTCCGTGCATAATTCACATCATGAGGCGAAATACCCTTTAAGAGCAGAATTCTTAGGGTACAGTGAAAGAGTAAAAAATGATTGTACAGTATAGGTTCTAAAACGTCTTTTTAGACAATGGGCCCTACATACACAATAAATGTTCTTAACTCGGTGGCTTTCCAGTGCTCCAGCTTGTTTAGAGATCGGAGTTTTCTGATAAATTCCGATGGAATGAAATCGCGTATGTATAATAAATGTTCTGAAACTTTATTTTTTGTGCAGGCGGGTAATTTGTATTTACCAGTATCCTTAAACCAAAACAGAAGCATCTTTTTCATGACCCCTAAGCAACGGAGATGCATATAGTCCAACGAAAATGTGTGCACCATGTTTAAATCATCAATTTGTACAAACGGACTCATCCCTTTGTGATGTAGTTTCTGTTGCTGGTTCCGAAAACTTTGATTAGTCCGAAGTCGTGCAGTTTTTGAACTATGTACCATTAGACTGGGCCAAAAAAATTGACTATTTTTTTTTTTTGAAAAATATATCGAGAATGTCATTCAGAATGACAAAAAAAAAATTTCGTGAAAATTTGAGCCCTCAATATTAATTTTAAGAGGTCTATCATCGCTATTTTTGATTTTTAGTCATAATATGATGTTTTACGTTGGAACTGTCAAAACAATAAAGTGAAAAAAATTCCTTGTCACTTATTTTTATAAAAAATTAAATTCTCTACAAAAAAGGTCTGATTGAAAATTTTCGCCAGACGAGCCGTTTCCGTGTAATTGAGCTTAATAAATCGATGTGTTTTTTCGATTTGCCCTTTTTACTTTGAAATTTTGTAACTAATGAATCAATGAATATTTAAAAAAGCTCACATCGGATTCTTAAAGTAAATTTAATGTTCTACAAAAAAGGTCTCTTAACATTTTTGCCTAAATTTAATTTTTCAAAAGTTATTCACGATTAAAATCAAAGAAAAACTTAAAATTTCAATTTTTTCTTCGTGAATAACTTTTGAAGAATTAAATTTAGGCAAAAATGTTCCGAGACCTTTTTTGTAGAACATTAAATTTCCTTTAAGAATCCGACGTGAGCTTTTTTAAATATTCATTGATTCATTAGTTACAAAATTTCAAAGTAAAAAGGGCAAATCGAAAAAACACATCGATTTATTAAGCTCAATTACACGGAAACGGCTCGTCTGGCGAAAATTTTCAATCAGACCTTTTTTGTAGAGAATTTAATTTTTTATAAAAATAAGTGACAAGGAATTTTTTTCACTTTATTGTTTTGACAGTTCCAACGTAAAACATCATATTATGACTAAAAATCAAAAATAGCGATGATAGACCTCTTAAAATTAATATTGAGGGCTCAAATTTTCACGAAATTTTTTTTTTGTCATTCTGAATGACATTCTCGATATATTTTTCAAAAAAAAAAAATAGTCAATTTTTTTGGCCCAGTCTAATGTACCATACGTCGTTGAATGTTTTCTCCTTTTCGAATAGATCGTTCACAGCCATTTTACCAAGAATAGGCCAGAACTGCTTATTGAAATATGGATGTAAACCGGAAACAAGGTAAACCTATTTTGCCTCTTTCTTTGTGATATTACTAATTGCTGTTATATTGGTATGCCTCACAGTGTATAATAGGGTTCTTGCATTAACAGGTAAATTTAAATTAAAATGTTTGTTAACTCCTTTCAAAAGTGAATTAATTTGTACGTGGGGAACGCGAAATTAAACGGCGTATTGTTTTAAAAAGGTCAGAAAATTATCGGAGGTGGATACCCTATTAGTTGCGTTCTCGATTGAAGTAGTTATAACCCAGAATCTCTCTTACAAGAACCCTGAGCCACAAAATCCCGCTAGCTCAGATGGTCGTGGGTGAATGTTCTTCGTAACTATTACTTACCTTCGAATTTACAAAAAAATTGGGCACCAAGTAATTTTTTTCTTTGTGGGACAAGAATAAAAGAAATTACAAAAAAAAAGTAAGTGTATTTTACACAAAGTTGTTATAAACCCTTAAGTCAGATCTCGTACAGTGATTTAAAGTTATTTAATATATTCTGGTTTTACAAGGATTCTAATCACCCCTCGTATATATTGGCCAACTACACGCGGTTTACACTAACCAAAAAATGTATATTAAAAGTTTTCAATATTTGATATTAAATCTACCAGTACTTAAACAGTGATTTGTTAACAAAATGGATCTGACCTTAGTTCTGCACTACGTATATGTACGTTGAATAAATTCTTCCAATCAGGATTGTACGTCAGTTAATGTCAATATAATCCATCCGTGTATGGTAACCAATATCCCAGGTGACACAGAAGGTGTGACTTGAATTTGTTTATAACAAGAAAACTGATCTCTGTACTTGAGATTAAACTTGGGTTCTACACCCGGAATTAAGACAGGAATTAAAACTCTAAAAGAAAAATGAGCATAAGAATTTGCATCTTGGATGAAGAAACTAACCTTACCTTCGAAAAGGGGTTTGTCTTCGTAGGAAATAGATCTTAATTATCTCCAAATAATAATAAAAGCGGCATCTGGCACTCAAAATACCACCAATTGCCAATAAACAACATTTCAAGGTTCCTAATACGAATAAACATGTCTATATTCCTTTAATAAGGTTTCACTTGGCAGAGCGAAAATTCGACCATTTTATTCTCCGGACAACCAACACAAGACAAACTCGCTTCCGGCTTCTACAGTACTTTTTCCCCTCTTCCAAAAGCAGACCTGCGCACCAACATCCCAAATGTCAAAATATGCTCTTAAATGAAAACTAACCATGTCAAATGACAAAACAAAGACTTAAAATCCGACAACAATAAAAACTCCCGATATCAAACAACATATAGCGGTAAAAAGGCTTGACAAAAGATCATAAATTCAAATTAGGCACGAAAATTAAACCAATAGGAAAGCAACTACAACAGGTGCCGGATATATGAACAGTGTTGCTCTGCTCTGCGTCTCCACGGTATCGAGCGAACCAGCATTTACGTCGAGTAAACACTAAACGTTTACTTGCTTGCAACCTCGCGATATCATCTAGGGCTCCGTACATTGCATCCTACACGAACCTGCCTAGTTTACGATTTAAAATCGCTGAGCGATACATTTGGCAACCCCGCGATACAATCGCTGCCTGGTGTGAACCATTGGATCTACCGTTACGTCAATGCAAATGTCAACCCGTTTAAAGTAATCAATTATTTATTTTTTAAAACAAAAAAGTTATGGGCCATCAAAGAAATCCTCTAAATTCGAGAAACGGCTTGAGACTTTTTCATAAAGTTTAAGCCCGGAAGACACAGGCCAAAATTTGTCTATCTTTTACAGAAACATGAGTTTCCATAGAAAAGCGTCTACTTTGGATAACCCTGTACATTGTTTAACAGCATTTTTAATTTACTTTTTAAAACCGACAATAATTAAAAAAGTTAAAACTTTTTCGCAGCAAAAAATCCCTGAAGACACCGAAACGTACTTCAGCTTACTCGACTTATTTCAAACCGAGAATTACGAATATACAATTTTTTTTTAAATTTCTAAAAATAACAAAGTTTAAGACAATTTCCGAAACAACTAAAAAAATATTTAAATTTTTTTTTATTTGAAATTTTTTGGGTTTTTTGTTATTTAACTATTTTTAAAAAATGAAAAAAAAAATTGATGAAAAATCAGATTCGAAATTAGCGACCCCGATTTATTATAAAACTAGGGGTCACAACGGTATTCGAAAACAAAAATTTTAATAGGGCCCTTTTGCTCAAAATTCGGAATCAGCGACCCCGATTTATTATAAAAACGAGGGGACAGCAGTCCATGTTGCGAGAAATAGTGACTTAAGAGACTAATAATAAAAAATAAACGACCAAATATAGACCAAATTAATTACCGAAATAACTATAAAATGGAGGTATACATTTTTTTGGGATAAAAGATCTAAATTTGAATTTAAAATACATAGAGATAACTTGAAATTATAAATTTTTATTGAATTAAATTTAACAAGTAACCATAACTATTATAAAATACATAAATAACAAAAAAATATTAAATTCTGTAATAAATTATGACTTATAATAAATAGAATCACATTTATATAAAAGACACTGGCATCAGTCATTTAATGGGTTATATTTTTTTGGTGGGCTGCAGGCTGCAGCTGATCTATAATTTTCGCCTTTCGTTTTTCTAAATCTTGTAAGTTACCTTCCCCGCTTCTTTTTTGGGATGGTTCACCCCTTTAAACATTAGTTGAGCCATACATATTTTTTTAACATTTTTATTTGTTTGCAACAATACGTTCTTTATGGTCTTTTTTATTAAAAATAAAACAATAATTCTTTTATTATTCCTTTTCCCGAAAACGGGTTTTTTATTTAATATAAAACAATAATTCGTTTATTATTCTTTTTCTCGAAAACGGTTCATTTTATTGACAATAAACAAGAGTACGTTTATTTTAGTTTAAGGTTCACGCTACGCAAATTTAGTTTTTTTAAGTCTTTACATACGGGGTGTTCAAAATTTAAGCATTAAGGTATAAAACTTAGTCCGTCCCTGGTAAACAAAAAAAGCAAAACATGTTTCAAGAACACTACTTTAAGAGGTCCCTACCAGGGTCCATCATATTAAATTTTTATTAAATTATATTCAGTACTTTAAAAGTTATTCAAGGAAAACCAATTTGCAGGGGCGTCCTTTCGGGGCCCATGTCTCCGCAAGGAGGGCCAGTAGGAATTTTTTTTATAGGAATGTGTCATCTTATTTTTTCATGTTCTATCTGAATCCGAGATATTTCCCACATTTTCCCGGACACCCTGTATAGGTAGTGTTAACCTAGCGAACCGAAACTATAAACGTAAACGAAACCCTAGACCAAACCAGAAAGAATTCAGCAATAATTTTGGCGGGCGGTTCGGGTCTGGACGGCGGGAACTTTAAATGTAAACTGCGAAGTTTTCGAATGTTTCACTTGGTTTACTGTGGTTTCGATATTTATAAAACTGTGAATATTTATATTTAAAAAAATATTTTTTAATAGTTGATTTTAACAGAAAATATAGACTTTATAGACTTTAGGTAAAAAAATAGACTTTTATAGACTTAAGACAAAAATATAGACAAGTCTTTAAAAAAACTACCTGCTGGGAGCCCTGGGCCCCAGGGCCTGGGGGACAGCGATATTTGCCGTTTAACCAACTCCACCTTTCGACGCTCTATCGTTTTACGTTTTGGAATTAGTAAGAAAGGAAAATATCTGACAGACTAACAGAAAACCTAGTAAAGAACTAGGTTTGCCAAACAATTTATTTATTATAAAAGGACCAAAAAAGTTTTGGTTTGTGAGCAAATGAGGTCCTCGATTTTTTTTTAC